GGGACTCGTATTTTTCTTGTTCGGCAACTTTGAAAGACTTCTGAAGCAGCTGAGCATCACCAAGGAAGAGGTAAGTTTCCCGGAACGGGGAACTGGGGGAAGGAAGGAAACAGGGAAGAAGAGTAAGAGGATTGCCCGGGGTTTATTCCTAGGGAACCGTAAATTACGCTTTACACGTTATTTTAACCTCTTTAGAGAAATTGTAATGTGTAACCGTCCAGCCTAAGGTTACTGAGCACGAAATTTGTAGTACTACTGTTGAATATGTTGCACAAGGAAATCTAACGATATTAAAGCAGTCGTGGAACTCTACAGTGTAACCACAGGTGTCCCAAGCTCACGTTACGAGCGTGTTATGTAAATTAACTTTTTCACGAGAGAGTCGGTGTCGCGTTACAAGCAAAATGTGAAATAAAATTCTGAGGTCTGCGAACGTTAAATATCATAATTTTTACTTTTTTTCTGTGAAATAAAGAAAGAAGACGTACCTTTTATGTACTACTGTGTTTTTGGTGTGAATTTATCGATTTAGTCCGTTTTTTTGGCTGTTATTGTTTGATCCCTTCGTATTATGAAGAGAGTGACAGAGGTCAAACAATAGCAGCCAAAAAAACCGACTACAGTTGACTCCCGATAACTCGAACTCTTGCTAACTCGAACCTCGCGTTAACTCGAACCGAAATCGATTTCCCCTGGATTTCAGTCATACATTTTCTGTATAACTCGAACCCTCGATAATTCCAATCTCCCGCTAACTCGAAATAGTTTTGTTTCCCCTCAGATCATTTCTATATAATTTTACCCTTGATAACTCGAACCATGTTTTGAGCCCGTAAAAGTCGGGAAAAAACAGTCTACTGGTGTCCCACACATTGAATTTTGAATTTCCCATTGACGTGTTGTAGGCATATAGTTTACTATTGGAGGCTGATGTTGTTTGTCACAAATCTAACGTGAAACAGCTTTACTTCTCAAAACAGTAAAGCGCATGCTCTATTTAAGCAAGGTTTTGTTATGTTACGTTCTTATTTATAATCAAGAAGTATCTTTTAATTTTCACTTGACATTTCTATAATTAAATGTGATTAAAATGTTCACTGTGCAGTAAAAACTGTTTTTTTCCTTACTCCCGGCTATTGTTTTCAAGCGCCCGATAACTCGAACTCGCGATAACTCGACCCTTTTTCGAGATTTCCCTTCGAGTTCGAGTTATCGGGAGTCGACTGTAAATCGACAAATTCACACCAAAAACACAGTAGTACATAAAAGGTAAGACTCCTTTATTTAATTAAGGGAAAAAAAGTAAAAATTATGATATTTAGCGTTCGCAGACGAGACCTCAGAATTTTATTTCTCATACAAAGTGTTGATTGTTGCTCCTGAGCTTGGGTAGGGACACCTGTGGTGTAACCATTCCAGTGAATGCTACTGAGCAGTACTTTCCTGTGGTACTGCAGGAGCACCCAACGAGAATATAGTTCAAAACCACTTAACATAGCATTGTTAAACGTATTTTAGTAGTTAAACGGTAAATTAGGCATATTTTTATCCCCTAAAAGTTTTTCATCTGTTGGGATTTCCTAGCTGAAAGTCTAGTGATCCGAAAATTATAGGGATCAAAAGTTACCTCTTCGAAAATTTCAGCCAGAAAAAAGGCTCCCGAAAATTCTAGGTGACCTTTTAAGGGTAAAAATCCGTTAAAAATGGGCAATTATACCATTTTTTAGATGTTCGAAAATCCTAGGAGAGGCAGGCAAGCAAGAAATTTTACAACAAATGTTCCGAAAATTCTAGATCTCAAATCGTCTTCCGAACAGATATTTTCCGAAAATTGTCGTTGGGTGCCCCTGGTACTGTTTATTATGCTGTACAAGGTGGTTCTAACTTATGAGTCTTTGGATGAAATCCTAAAGTGTGACCATTCAAATAAAAGCTACTGAGCAGTCCTTTCCTGTGTTACTGTTTATTATGCTGCACAAGGTGGTTCTAACTTATGAGTCTTTGGATGAAATCCTAAAGTGTGACCATTCAAATAAAAGCTACTGAGCAGTACTTTCCTGTGGTGCTGTTTATTATGCTGTACAACGTGGTTCTAACTTTTGAGTCTGTGGATGAAATCCTATGATGTGACCAAATGAAAGCTACTGGGCAATACTTTCCTGTGGTACTGTTTATTATCCTGTAAAAAGATGGTCTAGCTTTGAGTCTGTGGATGTAATCCTCAGCGCGACCATTCAAATAAAAGCTACCGAGTAGGACCTTCCGGAGAAAGTGGTTCAACTAACTGGTTGTTACGCAGCATGCGAAACAGCTGTTTCTCCTCGCTAAAAGGCTGTGTTTGCAGACTATTTATTACAACATGAAGAGGGTTCTGGCCTTTCAAAGAACTCATCCACTATTGAAACATTCTTGTACTGTTGACGTTTTGAAATACGGAATTAAACGCAAGACGTTTTCTATACTTAACGTCAGTGTTTCTAAATTGTTTCTGCCATCTTTAGGTGAAGAGAAGAGCTTCGTCCCACTCGATCTCCGTGTTCCTGGTAAATTCTGTGGCTTGGCTATTTATCGTTCCAATAACTTTGCATGCCACGCAAATGTTAATGCCAGATTTTTTGCCAATGCCAAGGTACAGAGATGGAAAGATCACGGCGACCAGTAATAACACCTTCTCAGCGACACAAATAGCTTTTGATGTTATATTTTTCGCAGCCAGTCGCGGTTTCTCTCTGCCCATTTTCTACGCGTTTCTTTACATGATGTTGTTCCTGTGTTGCGAAGTGGACAAATTCAAAGACGAGCTTGGAGGTGGTCTCTATCCAACCGAAGATAAAGCCAGGAAAAAAGCCATAAAAATAAGAACGCTGATCAAGGAGACAGAGAAGGCTTTCCGTTTTTTCCTCGTGTTGTACATAACCATGATTTTATTGGCTTCAGCACTAGAAATTTTCTCCATCGTGGAAAAAGCTGAAACCGTGATAATGGCAAACCACACCGTTTATGAATTACCTGCCAGCGCTGCAGCAGCCAGCGTGCAAACTTTAAATGTTGGGTCGAAAAATTTGATGCCTTTTCCGCACAGGTAGGACTTTAATTTTAAATCTCATTACAATTCCGTCTCAGTGGGTTCCAGTCCTCGCTCCTACTATTAAAAACTTTCGCGACGGTCCGAATCGCTGCACCAAAGTGCACACCGTTTGCTCCGTTCTCTTCGCGCCGAAATCACCGTTCTTGCCGTGTGACGGGAAGCCCTATCCGGTTTGATTTTAGTGGCGGCGCAAAAGCTTTTCGGTATAGTGTGAACAAAGCCTAATTTATAGTTCTAACAGCAATTTGTTTTGTTCATAATTATGTTTGTTTGCAAAATCATAACAGTTTTCAAGATCTTTCTAATCTTAAGCAATGTGCGTCAAAATTCGGTAGAATTCGGTCAAAGTTCCATTCAATAATTATCTGGTGTTATTTAGTTCTAAACCTCGAATACTGGACTTCCAGCTTATTCACTGGTACTCACTGTATCTCAGCCATCATTTCTACGTTTGAACCTATAATATTATTAAATGGGCGACAGCCTGAATCCTGTACAACTTAAGACGACCCTGAGTAAAATCTAACAAAAAATTGGGTTTAAAGCGAAGCTTGAGAATTCAATAACACAATTATTCTATTCGCTCTTGTTGGATAGAGGATCGGCCTGTTAGCTAACTCGGCTTGGGGTCCCCTGGAGAACAAGGAGTAAAGCTCATTACAACTTATTAAACCTGATAACCCTTTGAAAACAAAAAGTACAACAGAAAAGCTATGTTGATCTTTCTTCAATCTTAAATCGGTTTATTGCCAATAGCATGGCTAATCGTGGCAATGGGTGCTATAATTAGGCAGTAGGTGATGACAGATGGCTGTTGGCTGTAAAAAAAACACAAGCAAAGACAGAGCGATAACAGCAGTAAATGAAAGACCGTTCCACACATGTATACACCGGGCAAAAAAAAAATGCATGTAGGCATCAACAGAAGCGGGTTAAAGGTTGCATGTCGCACTATGGGACTTCCTGGTACCATCCCATGTGTCCTGTCTTCGAAATGAAGTTCTCATGCAAGGATTTAAACTAATTAACAAAACATTTAAGTGAGGAATGCTTAGTTCCCCAGAATTAAAGCTCATATTAGCACTAACAAGTTACCATGTGAACTCCTATTCACAGGTTGACGGGAAATCGGGCAATTCCGTATTATCTGCTCGTGATTCCCCCCTCAAATCACACCGTGGGAATGTCTGGAGGTGAAGATTACATCCCGAAGAATTTTATTGATCAGTACAAGATCACGACGCAAGAGATCGTAGTGACAGCTGTACTGGACATAACAGAAAACGTGGTACTGTACGCCTTTCCACTCTACCAGATGTCTGTTCTCAAAAGTTGTTTGAAAAGAGTACTGGAGATGGTGGAAGACAGCGATTATGGAGCACAGGAAACCCACTTGGACGGAACTACATCTGGCGATAATGCAGCACAGGGAATCCACTCAGACGATACTACCTCTGGCGATTATGAAGCACAAGGGACCCACTCAGAACATACGGCTTCTTGGGAGGAAACGCCTAAAACGATATTTAGAACGAGACAAGAGAAGAAAGACTTCACGAATTGGTTCCGCACTACGTGTATTTCTGGTGTTAAAGTTCTTGGTAGAGAAGTGAGTTTTCTCTGGGCCTTGGTTTTGACCTTCTTTGGTCCCTTTGTTGTGGTAGTGGTGAATTTGATGTTTAAGCACATTCACGTCGAATCTCCATGGCATTAACAAGGAACTTGTTCATTGTCACCCGCGCAATGTAGTTTTTCCTAACTGATTATAGGTTAAACGATTGCCGGTCATTTCGCTACGCAGTTCAGGTGATTCCGAATTTCGCCATACAGTTGTATTTTGAAATTGATGCACGCCGTGATGGTATTGCAACCCAGTTTGTTCTTTACACAAATACTGTGATGCACAAAAGAAAGCAAAACTTTTCTGGCCAATTTCAGTACTTATACAGCGCTTTCACTCACGTGACCAGCATCTATGCAAATTTATTGGAACAAAAGAAAGCGTTTACATAAGAAAAGAGTTCAACTACTACAGGACTGGTTTGGGACACAAACATGGCTGCCGTTTTATTGTTTTGGGAGACCAATCGGCCTAAACCCCCTGGGAAGACCTTCTAAAATTTACAAAAAAGCAAAAAAGCAATAGGTTTAGACAAGCATTACAAACACTTTGCACGTGCATCACGCTTTTTTGTACATTTCTCTTCTGTCGTTACACGACTACAACTTGAAACTGCCTAATTACACGTTTTGTCGAGGACAGGACCAAAAGAAAACAGCTTTCTTTTTCTTTTCCTGGACTTTGATGCAGTCGTTTAGAATTCAACTCCAAAAAATTTGCCAACATTTGACGAATTAAAGGAGATGGAATAAGCGCGATAAAGTTTGAGGCAGCGCAAATTCACTTTTAAGTGACGTTTTCAACAAAAAAACACCGTCGCACGGATCATGTTTTCTCTCGTGGTTGGAAGTCATGCGTTGCGCGCGCAACCTACAGATTAGTCGGTTACCTGCTAGCAGATAACTAACTAATCCGTAGGTTGCGTAGTCTCAGCTGTCGCAGTAGTCGCAGCTGTTTTTAGGGTAGTCACTGGGGAGGAGCGTTGCGTGACGACCCTAAAACCGGCTGCGAAGGAGACTATAGGTTGCACTGATTTCCAGAATTAAGTGTAGGCTCTTATCCAATGAGAAGACATTGACACTTAATGAGTACAACGTACTGTATACAGTCAATTCTCTCGTAAGCGACCACCCTTGGTGTACAAAAAAGTGGTCGCTTACGGGAGATGGTCGTCTATGGGAAAAATCAAGACAATAAGTCAATCCCTCCAAGACGGGCACCACTGGAACCGACATGAGTGTCCTTCTTAGAGAGATGTTGGCTTTACAGAAAGTAAGAGTACAGCACTGAAGAAAGGAAGATACCATGCCCAGATGTCTAGACTTCCTAGAAGTTTGTCCTATAGAGAGTTGACTGTAGTAATGTTGTAAATATTTGTAAAATAATGTAAATAATCATTTACGACAAAGTTGAGCCTGCTTTTATGCAGAACGAACACCAGACAGTTCTCAATTTACTTCCAAGGTCCAAAGTTTTATAATTCGCTAAATTCTACTATAACTGGTTCGTCCTCCTCTGCTTCTTTTAAAAGAAAGCTTAAAGAATTCCTTCTCAGTACGTATTAGCTTCAGTATGGCAGTAAGTAGATTATTAGATTAATTAATCTAATATGTGCGTGTGTATGTGTGTGTGTGAGTTTCGGTCAAAGTTAGCCATCATAAGCCCATACTGTAATTATATTATCAAGACTAGTTTACCCTAAGTTGAGGAGACCTGACTCATTATAAGCCTCGTGGTTTCTTTCAGGTCTCCTCGCCATTTACTTTTTCTTTAATCTTATTATTCCAACCTTGCATTGTAAAATTTTGTATATATGGCAAATAAAGAATGAGTGAATGAGTGAATGAATGAATGAATGAATGAATGAATGAATGAATGAATGAATGAATGAAAATGAATGAATGAATGAATGAATGAAAATGAATGAATGAATGAATGAATGAATGAATGAATGAATGAATGAATGAATGAATGAATGAATGAATGAATGAATGAATGAATGAATGAATGAATGAATGAATGAATGAATGAATGAATGAATGAATGAATGAATGAATGAATGAATGAATGAATGAATGAATGAATGAATGAATTGCCAACGAGTAGCCTCGCGAGGGGAAACAATAGTAAAGCCCTGCGCTAAAGTTCCAAGGCAGAATGAATCTCGAAGCGATGTAACATAAGGGAGTGTAAAGTAACTTTTATGGCATAATGCAGAACAGAGAATGCATTATTTTCGAGCGAACACGTACGCAAAAGTTCCAAGGCAGAATGGGTCTCGAAGCGATGTAAGGTAAGGTAGTGTAAGGTAACTTTTATGACGTAATGCAGAACAGAGAATGCATTGTTTTCGAGCGAACACGTACGCAAAAGTTCCAAGACAGAATGAATCTCGAAGCGATGTAACAGAAGGTAGTGTAAGGTAACTTTTATGACGTAATGAATCACCGTAATTCATCGGATTTCTAAACAAATTGAACAGCGCGTGCGTATAGGTAAAATCTTTGCTCGTTGGCACTTAAAGCTATAACTAGTGGTTACACAAGTCCCTAACGTAAGTCATGACTATGGAGACTAAATAATCTCCAAATAACAACCTGGTAATGTAGAAAAATAATTTGCCTGTCTTAGAATGAAATCTTGTTTTCACCTTTTTTACCTTGTACATAATTCGTCTCTCAGTTATACAACCTCATTTACAGTACAGATAATTTAAAAATGACGGTGTTTAAAGTGGGTAGCTAAGGTTTTTCCTATGTTTTTGTTTGTTTACTTAGTTTTTGTTTTAAAAGAGCGTACAATAAAGTTGTATTTTTTATCTTGTCTTTTATCCCCAATCCATTACAACTAATCTTTAATTATTCTTACAGAGTGAGCCTTTACACGGCGAGCTCAGACTTAGTGAGGGGAGTGCACGCCCGCGCGAGTGTCAAGCAGTAAAGCAGCGAGACGCGAGAAACGAGGGCGGCCGAGGACAGCGGCCATCTCTTGCTTTCAGAATAATACCCTTGGTCATTTTCGTCTCTCGCGCGTTCCGCTTGACGGGCCAAGAAAAAAGAGAGAGACTGCTCGTAGTCTAGTGAGCCTGCAAATGTACCCTGCAAGCAAATGCAAGCTCTCCTATTTGGTCGAGCGAAGCGAGCCGCGAGGAGCCGAGTAAAGGAGATCCTTTCTCTCCCCGCCCCCACCCCTCTCTCCTCCCGCTTTCGCGTCTCCTCTCGCGTGCCTCTCGTGCGTCTACTTTTCACGATATCCCTCAAACGGAGAGCTTCTCGCAGGCTACTGCAAATGTAACCGTACTTCCAAGTGTCACTTCTCTTCATCCGACAATGGTGTCTGCTTACGCACACTAACAGACGGTCGTAAGAGTGAAGGGTCGAATTTTCACTACGCAAAATACATTTCACTAGCAGGCCTTGTTGAGAGACATTTTACTCACCAGTGACAATTAGAAAAGATCTTTCTGCAACTCGTCTACCAGGACCCATATTGGACGGACCTCTGGAAATCTCAGACTCAAGTGGTACATTACCAGGACAGGGCACCCAAGATTTAGCACCATCAGCTTTGCAGAGTGAAAAAGAACACTCTTCGCTTGCTGTGAGTTTAGAAAATAATATGCATAGGGTTTGTACACTTCTTCTGATGTAAAAGGAATTTTCAAAAATTACTTTTCCAAAATGAATGAAAGAGAATTTCAAGAACTTTCAAGGCACTGAAAAAGGACTCTAGAAATTCAAGGGTTTTCAAGACGCATACGAACCCTGTATGTATATAAAGTTGAAGTTCAAAATGAATTTCAGGCTAAAATGGTTTCAGTGGCCTAGTTCAGCTACGGTCAAACGGGCAACATAAACGTGCAACTTGTTTTGCACCAATGCTGCAAAACAAGTTGAACAGCCATGTTGCATATTTTACCACTCGCGTTCAAACCTGTCTAGCAACAAATCAGGTTGTTACAAGTTGCGTGAATACTGACTTCTGGTTTGGTAAAATTATGCTGGAGTCACGCCATATATGAGAGTTAAATCACTTGCTGCAAAGCTAGTCATGTCAGGTGAAAGTACCCCTGAAACTCAACTACTCATGGGTCTCTTGTGCAAGCATTTCTACTTGCATTTCCTGTGTAAGACTTGTATATATAAAAAAATGCATAATTTGCAAGCTTGATGTGTCAACCATGCTTGATAGGCTTTGTTTCTGTAAGCCAGGCCAAATTGTCTCACACTGAAGCTCCAATAGACCTTATATACACAAGGCTGTGCTCTAAGGGAAAATGAAGAGAGCCCAGTGCTCTGAACCTGTGAAATCCAGGGTGCCCAGCACATGATATCTACGAAAATTCTAAGATTTTCTAGTTGCCCAGGAGGAAAATTAGGTGCCAGGGGCCACTGGGGGCTGCTAGAGCACAGCCTTGATGCAGGCCCAAAAATTGGGGAGATTGGAAAATTCTTATCAATACCCTGTACTAGATACTTTGACATTATTTTTTTACAAAATAAACCTTGCATTTTTGACCCATTGAGTGCACCTCATTGAGTCTTCATTGCTTCAGTAACAGTAGAGTGAACACTTACCAAGATCTTTCTCCATGACCACTTGATTGCCATCAATTTGAACTGACCGTTCTTGCCACATAACAGGAGAGATAGCAGGCTCTTTGAGGCAGAGCCTAGCCACATTTTCAGTGGTCATGACAACATGATTGGAATCAAAGTGGATGTCATGCACAAGGAAATCTAACGATATTAAAGCAGTCGTGGAACTCTACAGTGTAACCACAGGTGTCCCAAGCTCACGTTACGAGCGTGTTATGTAAATTAACTTTTTCACGAGAGAGTCGGTGTCGCGTTACAAGTAATAGTCAAGAAATAAAATGTGAAATAAAATTCTGAGGTCTGCGAACGTTAAATATCATAATTTTTACTTTTTTTCTATGAAATAAAGAAAGAAGACGTACCTTTTATGTACTATTGTGTTTTTGGTGTGAATTTATCGATTTAGTCCGTTTTTTTGGCTGTTATTGTTTGATCCCTTCGTATTATGAAGAGAGTGACAGAGGTCAAACAATAACAGCCAAAAAAACCGACTACAGTTGACTCCCGATAACTCGAACTCTCGCTAACTCGAACCTCGCGCTAACTCGAACCGAAATCGATTTCCCCTGGATTTCCGTCATACATTTACTGTAATTTTACCCTGGGTAACTCGAACCCTCGATAATTCGAATCTCCCGCTAACTCGAAGTAGTTTTGTTTTCCCTCAGATCATTTCTATATAATTTTACCCTCGATAACTCGAACCATGTTTTGAGCCCTTAAAAGTCGGGAAAAAACAGTCTACTGGTATCCCAAACATTGAATTTTGAATTTCCCATTGACGTGTTGTAGGCATATAGTTTTCTATTGGAGGCTGATGTTGTTTGTCACAAATCTAACGTGAAACAGCTTTACTTCTCAAAACAGTAAAACGCATGCTCTATTTAAGCAAGATTTTGTTATGTTACGTTCTGATTTATAACCTAGAAGTATCTTTTAATTTTCACTTGACATTTCTACAATTAAATGTGATTAAAATGTTAACTGTGCAGTAAAAACTGTTTTTTCCTTACTCCAGGCTATTGTTTTCAAGCGCCCGATAACTCGCACTCGCGATAACTCGAACCTTTTTCGAGATTTCCCTTGAAGGTTCGAGTTATCGGGAGTCGATTGTAAATCGATAAATTCACACCAAAAACACAGTAGTACATAAAAGGTAAGACTCCTTTATTTATTTTATAGAAAAAAAGGAAAAATTATGATATTTAGCGTTCGCAGACGAGACCTCAGAATTTTATTTCTCATACAAAGTGTTGATTGTTGCTCCTGAGCTTGGGTAGGGACACCTGTGGTGTAACCATTCCAATGAATGCTACTGAGCAGTACTTTCCTGTGGTACTGTTTATTATGCTGTACAAGGTGGTTCTAACTTATGAG